TTTGGAGATTTCGTGAGGATTTTTGGTGGGATTTTTGACGAGGATTTCTTGGATTTTTATGGCATTTTTAGTGAGAATTTTTGGTGGAATTTTTATGAAACTTTATGGCATTTTTTGGTCAGATTTTTATGGGATTTATGGGGTTTTTTTTTTTTTTTGGACATTTTGTGCCTTTTTTCTTGCAATTTGAACTGTTCCACCCATTTTTTTTCCCTTTTTTCTTTCCCTCCCCCAACCCTTCAATTTCCTGCAAACCTCTTTTCTGGGGATGATCCCAAAATTCCCAATTTTTTCCACAGGGAAGGCAAGGAAGTGATGCCAGTGTCAGAAATTCCAGTGGAAACTCACCGGGCCATCGCCTGCTGCCATTCCCTGGTGCAGCTGGAGGATGGGACAATTGTGGGAGATCCTCTGGAAAAAGCCATGCTGACAGCTGTGGATTGGACACTGACTAAAGGTAAATCCTGAATTTTTTCTTGGAATTTTTCTTGGAATTTTTCTGGAATTTTTCCGTGGTGTTTTGAGGGGTTTCGGGTGCGAAAAAGCTCGGGGGGAAAACGGTGGCGAGAAATCCTCGCTGAAAAGAAATTGCACAAAAATCGTTCCGTAAAAATTCCCACAAAATCATTCCGTAAAAATTCCTGCAAAATCTTTCCATAAAACGTCCCACAAGCCCTCACAAAATCCTCGAAAAAAAATCCACTAAATCCTCAGAGAAAATTCCACAAAATGACTCCGCAAAAAACGCCCCAAAATTCTTTCATGAAAATCCCACAAAACCCTCACAAAATCTCCCAAAAAATTCCGCTAAACCCTCACAGAAAATTCTACAAAATCGTTCTACAAAAATCCCACAAAATCATCACAAAACCCCCACCAAAAAATCCCACAAAATCCTCCCAAACTCCCTCAGAAAATCTCCCAAAATCCCTACGGAAAATCAAAAGAAAATCCTCACAGAACACCACAAAAAATTCTCATAAAATCCTCACAGAATTCCATAAAAAAATCTTCACAAAAACCCCGTGAAAACCTCACCGAAAAATTCCACCAAAATGCCACAAAACCCTCACAAAAATCCCCTTGAATTCCACTTTAATCATCTTGAATTCCCTTTAATTCCACTTAAATTATCCCAAATTCCACCTGAATGATCCAGAATTCCCTCAAATCCTCTAAATCCCTGAATTCTCCACAATTCCCACCCGAATCCCTCTCAAACCACGCCCCCCCCCCAATTCCCAAATTTTTTTCCCCCTCATTCCAAATTCCTTTTCCCTCCCGGCACCTCCTTTCAGGATTTCCTGATTTCCTTTGTTTCCAGATGAGAAAGTTTTCCCGAGGAGTCTAAAAACTCCGGGAATGAGAATTCACCAGCGCTTTCATTTCTCCAGTGCCCTGAAGAGAATGGCGGTGTTGGCTTCCCTGGAAAACGCCTCTGGAGAAATCCGATACCTGGCGGCCGTCAAGGGCGCTCCCGAGACCCTGCACGCCATGGTGAGGGGAGAAATTCCGGGAAAAAAGGGGGGAAAAATGGGAATTTGGGAATGCCGGGAGCTCAAAATGGCCGCTCTGCGCTGAGGGGAAGAA